CCTGTTCTGCTCCATGATCCCCAGTAAACCTGTTATTTTCTATAAATCTCTCATTATCATATCCACAAAGTGGTGGGGAATTCCCTGGAGGTGCAGCTACTTTGACGAGCAAGTGGAAGAGCTAAAGAGAAAGTCATGTAGCAGCATAAGTTTATGAGTACTTACTATTAAGGAACAGTAACCTTAAGGCAATATGAGTTCTCAGTTGTGAGTCAACATGATAATTCAGGGTAGTTTAGATAAGGCTGTTCTATAATCTCTCTTTACATCAGTGAATTAAAGTCTATGTTATATTAAGAGTGCATTTGCTAGTCAAAAGTAAAAGTACTGTGACTAAAATTTACTGTTCTTTTTATGTATTTTTTTCCTGTAAATAAGAAGAAAAGGCTATTTTAAATGTAAAATTGTTGACAATTTTTTGAGCAGTTCCACTTTAAGAACTTTGTGTTTATTTATTTTGTATTAATTAAATAGGTCCAACTTGAAGGTTGGCTCTGCTTTAATCAGGGGTTTGGACCAGTTGACCTCCAGAAGAGAGGCTTTGAGTGGGGGAGGCTATATGCACATACATACTAGTATTTGAGGCTTTTATTTATCTGGCTTTTAATGAATGTTCTGTATAGAAAGAGGTAAGCAAGGAGGACTACATTCTTTTTTTCTGTCTCTAATTTCAGGGTTTTGTCATTATGTATTTAAAACAGTTTTGTTTACTTAAATGAGTTAAACTAGTTATCTCTAGGATACTAACATACACAAAACAGAAATCCTAAAATACGTAGCAGTTTTGTCATCTAAGAAAGAGATGATCTCCAGTGTTGTGAGCACAGATTTAAAATATGAGCTAATATGAGATTATGTCAGAATATATTCTTTTAATATTTAATATTCTGTTTTTACAGCTAAGTTATGCATGTTTATCAAAGGGCAGATATGTTTTAAGTTTTATATGCTCTGTTTAGAAATAAATTGTTATCAGATTATCTCCAGATAATGAAAAAAAACCCCATTTATTTAATTTGAAGATGTAAATGCCAGCCCCATTTTTAAAGGAAGACTGTAATGCAACTCGGCAAATCAGTAACTTTTATTAGCACTAGGTTAATCAGTACATTCTTTACATTCAAAACTAGTTTCATATTGTTCAACACTGCTTCTGCTGTGTTCTCTTGAGTCAGTGTGACAAGTCCCAGTGCCAAAATTTTCCTGTTCATGGACAGAAGTACTGAGATGTGCATTGCAAGTGTCATGCTTTGCTCTGTCTTCTTGCCATTAGTTTTAACATTTATTCCCCTTTTGTCTTAGTAATGCAGATAATAATTTCTTTGTAAGCAACTACTTAGGGAACGATGCAGCAATTTTTTAAAAGGTTTGTATGCATTGTCAGTGGAAGATGCTGGACTAAGTATCTTTTCACAGTGCAGTTTCTTACCAGTATAGATTTGAGATAGGTGGTGTTTTGGTTTTTTTTATTTAAAAAACATTGATTTTAGCTCAAAGTGCTTTATGGCATCACTGTATAGGATGACGTCTTGAGTAGTAATAGAGAACTGGAGACTAGGGTTAATGGCTGTGGTTTTTATTTACACACCTTTTTTTCAAAGCAAG